TTATGGTGCAGTATGGTGTAGTTCCTCCATCGTAACCAAAGGCCGGGAATCTGAACTTGAAATGAAGTAATTTGTCATCTCTGGACTTGTACAGCTAATGTCGAAGTCAAAAAATCCACGGCTATCATCGGAAACTGGTTGGGCCGGCCTCCAAAAATCAACCAAAGATGAAAGAACATACACTACGTGACTCATGTCAGGCCTCTGGTGAGGCTCACTCGCGCAACAGTGATCCGCCTGTTAAACAATCCAAAGAAATAATAATTAAAAAAAAAAGGAGGCTAGGGTTTCATTGATACTGCACAATTCAATTGAATACAAAAAGTATGATTTAACCTAAATACAAAGATATATATAGGCTAAACAAAGGAAATAATGAAAAGACAGATCCACCCTTAATAAACAATAAAACAAAATAACCCATATTTCTTAACACCGCCAACTCCGACACTTTCCTTATATTGGCAAATGTTTCCTCCTTGAGTTCAATTGTCTCATCGTTGGCCTTTCGAAATGTGTCTTCCTCAATCTGCATACTACAAAACCATGTGAGAAGGTGAACCATATCCTCTGGATAGGTTGCGTCAATGGCTTTTCTGCCTGTGATTAACTCCATCAAGATTACTCCAAAGCTGAACACGTCAACCTTTGTAGTAACTCGTCCAGTTACTGCCAAATGTTAGGAAAAATCCTTAGTGTGACAAACATTAAGAGTACATTGATATTGTGGCTTTACCTCTTACCCACCTCAAATAGTGGAGTTCAGAAGCGGTCCCTCTTCATTCAAACCCAAGACTTAATCCTTAGAAATAAATCAAGAGTACCAATTTGTTTCCAAAGATGAAGTCTTAGGTTCAAATTAAAAGAGACGCGTTCTAAACCCTACTTTTTGAGGTGGGTAAGAGACAAAAATACAAAAATATTTTAGCAGTGGATCTGGATGCTATATAATGTGTAAATTTATTAACCATCATTATGTGTGAGGATAATTTTATATGCAAAAAGAAGAAGTATTTTGATAGGAACCCACTCCAATAACTCAACAATTTGGGTTGGGTCATAAGTCTTTCATGGGTTTAAATAGAACTCTTCTTGGAAAATCGGCTTGCCAAGGGAGGGTGCCCAAACCTTTATAACCCACATGCCCACCCTTTTCCCTTTCAATATGCGATCTTAACATTCTCCCACGCTTCGAGACCCAACGCCCTCATTGGTCTTCTTTCCAGAGAGCACCCACCCTAATCGGCCTTTGCTGCCCTCCCTTTGGGTCTTACTTCGCCTAGAAGCCTATCAGCAACTCTCCTTCTCGACCCCTCGGGAGGCCCACTGGGCCCTACTACGTGGGCTCCACGTCGGCTTCTTTACCCCTTAGGTGACTTCGCGGGTCCCCTTTCCTTGGGGTAGCAGCCAGAGCCCAAGGTCAGCCTGCCACGCGTGAGCAGGATCATGCTCTGATACCAATTGATAGGAACCCACTCCAATAACTCAACAATTTGGGTTGGGCCATAGGTCTTCCATGGCCTTGAGTAGAACTCTCCTTGGAAAACCGGCTTGCCAAGGGAGGATGCCCAAACCTTTATAACCCACATGCCCACCCTTTTCCCTTTCAATAGGGGGATCTTAACACATTTGTTACCTATACATTCTGGGGCGAGATACCCAAATGTTCCGGCTACTCTTGTCTCAATTAAATTTTTTCCGTATTCTGGAACAAGTCGAACCAATCCGAAATCTGCAACCTTAGCCCTCATATCATCTCCAAGAAGAATGTTGGATGGTTTAAGATCTCTATGAATAAAATTTTGGTGTGCTAAACCATGTAGATACTCAACACCTCTAGCCACATCCAAGGCAATTGTCAGCCTTCTATTCCACTCAAGTGGCTTTAATCCCTCTTCTTTCCAGATGAACAAATGCCTGCACAGGGTTCCGTGGGGCATGTATTCATAAACAAGAAACCTCTGATCCCCATGAAGGCAATAACCGAGAAGTGTCAACAAATGTCGATGTCGAACCTTGGTGAGAACTTCAATCTCAGACTTAAACTCTACCAAGGCCTTCTCACTTACCACTCCAGATCCCGTCCTCTTAACAGTAATTTCTGTCCCGTCCTGCAATTTGCCTTTGAAAACGGTCTGGAAACCACCTCTTCCTAAAATATTTTCATCGCTGAAATCATTCGTTGCATTTCTCAAAACTTGAATTGAATTAAACATATATCCAAACTCACTTCCAGCACTAACACTCCACTTTGATGCTGTAGTCTTAACCTCATTTGCATCCCCATCATCAGAAGCAAGTATTTCTCCAGTACCCTGACTCAGTATGGACCCAAAAGACTTCTGTTTTCTGATACACATACAAACACCAAATATAACAATAAACATACCACAGACAGCCCCAATTGCAGAACCCACGACAATTCTAAGATTCAAACTCTTACCCCTACCAATAGATAAACTTTTTCCTCCGTTACCATTGTTACTGGGCGGTAGTCCTGGCTGAGAAGGGACAGTATTATTATCTGTTTCGATACCAGTCCCATTAGAGTTAACAGTTACAGTGTTTCTGAATGTTGGCATTTTACCATGAAGTTGATTGTTGGAGACATCTAATGCCTCAAGATTTTGCAGAATTGTAAGCTCATTCGGTATAGTACCCGTAAGTGAGTTATTTGAAAGTATCAAACGTTCCAGGTATGTAACCATAGAAAAATTCGGAGAAATTGCACCTGAAAGCTCAAAATTATTGAAATCAACACCGGTAATATTATTGTAACTATCACATGTGACGCCCTTCCAATTGGCACAAGGATCATTTCCTTTCCAATCATCTGCAAGAATCACTAGGTAGCCCACAGAATCCGCAATTGATAACAAGATATTAACCCGAATATCACATTCAAGACCAGGATCATCCAAGCAAAAACTATTGGTCCCTTTTTCCATATCAACATGAACATTAGAATTACTAAAATTTGGAGTCGGACCCTGAAGAAAGTTATGAGTCAAATTGACAGTAGTAAGCTTGGGAAGATTAACCAAAGACAAAGGCACAATACCTGTAAATTGATTCTCTCTCAAACTTAAATCCACCAAATTTATAAGCCCGGAAAAGTCTGGCAAAGGACCTGAGAATAAATTTTTATGAAGCCAAAGCTGAGTCAAAAACTTCATGGTTTGTAACACAGTAATTGATCCATTGAGCATATAAGAACTGGTTTGGCCATTCAACCAGAGTGTTTGAATGGAAGATTGGGAAAAACTCCCTGGAATTGGTCCTTGGAGATTGTTCATAGCCAAATGCAAATTCGTTAATCCTGGAAATGTATCTCCTCCTACAAAGTCTGGAATAGTCCCGGAAACATTGGCCCCGTTTGCAGAAAAATTCTTCAAAGCCGTAGCATCTTTCAAACTTTCAGGAATTTCCCAGGAAGAGAATGGATTATAATCAAGACTTATAGAATGTAAAGACGTTAATCCAGTAAAGAAACCAGAGGGTATATATGAGAAACTATTGTTGTTGAAAAACACTTGTTGAAGGGAACTCAAACCGGCAAGACTTGGAATCGGCCCTGTGAGCTGATTGTTTGCCACTTCCAGGACAGTCAAGGAAGTGAGGTTCCTTAGATCTGGAGGAAGCTTTCCTTTCAGGTTCAAGCTCCTGATTTGGATACGGGTCACCAAGTTGTCGTTCCCACATGTAACGTGACTCCATTTACACGGGTCCGAGTCAGACCAATTTAGTGATGGTGGATTTCCTAGGCTGACTCTCAGAGCGCGCATTGGTGAGCTATCTGGGCTTAACTGAGAGAGTGAGAGAGAGAATAAAGAAGAGGGAAATACCCAGATGGCCTTCCTTCATTTTCTCAGGAAAATTGGAAGAAAGTAGGAAACATAGAAAGATTAAAATTTCTTAGAAATTTTCAACTATTGTCTAGAACCTTATTAATTTTTCTCTTGTTATCACCAAATCCTAAGAAATTAATGAAAACTTCCAAGTTTTTGAGCTGGCCGTTTAGCTGAAAAAGAATTGAAGTCGTTTTGTAGGTTTGGGATCCCATTATAGGAAATAGCTTGGCTTTTTGCTCGAGAGAGGAAATTACTATGAAACAGATTAATTTATTCGGGTAGATTGTTTGGAATTTCTTTTACTTTTTTATCGAATACAGTACAAGCCGACCAATAGAGATGCAGGAGATAGAAAATAATAAAACATATAAATTAAATTATATAATATAATATATTATGATAAAAATAGGACTAAAATCTTTATAATGTTTCATTTATTTTATTGATAATTAATTAGTGTCCTAAAATAGACTTGAGTAAACGTTTAGGGCCATTTGTTTATAAATTTGCTTCTTTTTATGTTTTTTACGCTCGTAATATGTAATTAGCGTTTTATCCTGAATTTAATTTTTTAAAACTTTTACAACCCTCTGCTACGTGTTATATATATGTGAAGAATTGACGTTTCCTCTAGAAAATGTATAATCCATGCAGATGTTTTGGGCTGAGGCACGCTGATGTCATCTCTATCAATCTAGATTCAGCATACTTTTCTACCTACCTGAGTTTGACACATACCAACGACAATAAGAATATTAGCTGTCAAAAATCCTAACCGTCTCAAAAATGAATCTAATGCAAGGGTGAATTTGGTTTGCATATCAGTCCAAGCTTCATTTAATTTAATGATATACATGAGAGTTCTTAATGAAATAAAAGGCAAGAAGAATTTTCATGATGTTAGATCATTTACAAAAAAATAATTATTACCTTGAACACAACGAGTATAAATAGGTAGCTCTCCTCTAAAAAAATGAAGGTTAGACACACACAAATTACATAAAACAAATAGCAAACACACTATTAGAAAACTATTAGCTTGACATTCTTTTAGAACACAATCACTTTTAATCTCAAATCATAGATCGCGACCTCTTGTAAACTTATGTAACGATCAAAATAGAACACTTATATAAATAACCACAATAGATGTATGAGTCGCTTTTAAGCATCTGAACTACTATAAAAACATTCTTGTTAACTTTATTTTACGTACTTACATGTTATTATCATCACAGTATCTCACCCACTCAATATAATTTGTTCACGTGTAATTTCTTAATACTTTATACATGCAAAATTGTTGATATCAAAATTAATTATCAACCATAGTTATATCGATCTTGTAGCTTGAGCCAGCTCTGTAAGTAAACTGCAAACGCCATAGATAAGAATAAACTAGAAGGATGTGGCTGAAAGGAATCAATCACAATTCACAAATGACTACAAATTAATTACATAAGTCGACTTGTTTTGTCTATTCCCGCAGCTATACCACTTTTAACAGCTGTCACTTACCACAAAGTTGATGTATATTAGCAAGTAGCGATGAGTTTTGCCCTATCAAGAATATACCATTTTATAGAATTAGAATTATGATTAACCAGAGCCTCCTTTTGATATTAGATATTATAATATTCATGAGAGAAGATCATTCTAGACCCCCTGAGGTATACCCGAAACCAATAAACCCTCTCTGGTATCAGAAATGGCTCTCAACCTCCTACTATTACTTTTTCATTAGTTATAACAGAAGAGGGACAGAAAAGTAATTGTTTTTAAATCTCATTAATTGATGAACATAAAAAAATAAAGAATTAGATAACATTAAAAAAAAGTTATATGAAAAACAAATATTAACTCCCAACACGGTGCGGCCTTTCCCATCACCGGCAACTCCACGGCACTCCAAACCCACTTCTTGAGCCAAAGCTTTGCTGCCCATCCAACCCACAAACGCCCGAACCAAAAGTTCATAGCCCAACCCTTCCGAAGTCTTTCCAATCCGCCATCAGCAACATCCCCCTCCCAGTCCACCACTATCATCCAAAATAGTTTGGACTCAAGCCATATATATAAATTACACACTAGAATTGGATGACTGCAATAATGGTTTCTGAAAAAAATAATGGGAAGAAAAATATCGCCAAATTTGAACAGTTTCATTGGTTTTAGGTTGATTGTTTGTGAAAATTAAATTGGATTTGGGGAGTACTATTTGTTGGAAAGAAAAATTCATATATTGCTCATGATTTCTATATATATTCCAGCAATTACTTTAATTATATACGTATGTTCCAAAAGTATATATACATATTATCACATAAATTGAATAATAATTGGATTTAATGAAGTGCACGAATTATATTCATTTGTGTAAAATATGTTACCATTGATCTTATTTTAATCATTAATCACTATAACTAATAGGTAATACCACATAAAAAATATTATAAGCTGGTATGATACTTCGATCATAATATATATATATATAATAATAATAATAAAAATTTGGGCTATCTATCAGCCCAACTTCAAGTCTAATTTACAGAGTAACTCATTTTTGGTGTATGTAACTATTTACACACGCACACACACAAATTGTTAGTACCAGTTTTTCTTTTACTAATAAAACATCTTGCATCACTGCATTGTCATCCTGTATAAGAATGTTGTGGCTCGTCCGTTATTGCCGTAACAAGAGGTGAAAGCGATTCTGTGATAAAAGAAGATGATTTTGGAGTTGAAGAGGTGTTAAGGTCAATGTCACCCTGCATATTGCGGAACCATGTGACAAGGTGAATGATATCCTCAGAATGGGTTGCATCAACGGCTTTTCTCCCTGTGATTAACTCCATTAAGACTACTCCAAAGCTAAATACGTCAACCTTTGTAGTAACTCGTCCCGTCACTGTCAAATTGTACATAGATATTCCAGATTGATCATATACAAACCATAAAAATTTCAAATGAATAATCAAAGAATAAATATTGATTACCTACATACTCTGGAGCAAGATACCCGAAAGTTCCAGCTACTCGTCTCAATTGAACATTTTAGGTTCTCTGGACTATGACGAACTAATCCTAAATCTGCAACCTTAGCTCGCATATCATCTCCGAGAAGGATGTTAGATGGTTTGAGATCTCTATGAATAAAACTTTGATTTGCTAAACCATGTAGATATTCAACACCTCTAGCCACATCCAATGCAATAATCAACCTTCGATGCCACTCGAGCGGTTTCAGCCCCTCCTTCTCCCACTTGAACAGATGCCTACTGAGTGTCCCTTGAGGCAAGTATTCATAAACAAGAAGCCTCTCAATTCTGCCCTGGGAATAACCAAGAAGTGTCAATAAATGGCGATGCCGGACTTTGGTAAGAACCTCAATCTCAGACTTAAAGGATGCCAAGCACTGCTCCGTAAACGTTCTGGATTCCATCCTCTTTACTGCAATTTTTGTCCCATCCTGCAACATTCCTCTGTGCACAGTCCCAAAACCACCTCTTCCCAATATATTTTCCTCACTGAAATTATTAGTTGCAAACCTCAGGACTTGAATTGGAATAATCATATTCCCAAACTCAACTTCATTAATACTCAGGGTAATCTTGGCAGTATTTGCACCAGGAGGATCATGTATCTCCACAGATTTCGTACTATGTACCAAAGTGGAGCACTTTGGTTTCGTGGTATACAAATAAACACCTAATCCATGAGCACAGACACCGCAAACTGCAACTACTATAAAACTCATAATCTTTATAAAATCTGAATTGTCACCTCGGCTATCAGGAACTGGAAGTATAAAAGGAGGGTTCAAAGGGGGCAAACTAATTTTTAGACCAGGGTTTCCGCGAATGTAAACAATTACATTTAGTCTGAAATTTGGAACTATACCATCAAGTCGATTATCAGATACGTCTAACCTCTCAAGGGACGGTAAAGTTGTAAGCTCAATTGGTATAGAACCTGTAAGTGAATTATTTGAAAGGATCAATTCTTTCAACGACATAAGCTCAGAAAAATTGGAAGAAATTGTACCCGAAAGTCCCGAACTATTGAAATTAACAACCGTAATGTTTCTTTTATCATCACATAAGATCCCTTTCCAGTTCTCCTGAGAGGCATTGCAAGGATTATTTCCTTTCCAGCTCTTTGCAAAAACTACTGGATAACCCAGAGACTCGGAAATTGACAGCAAAATGTTAACTCGACTATCACAATCAACACCAGGGTCACCTAAACAAAAACTGTTTGATCCATAGTCTATATCCATATGAACTTTGGATTTATTAGACTCCGGAGTTGGACCCTGAAACAGATTATCAGCCAAACTGACAGTAGTAAGCTTAGGAAAATTAACCGAAGACAATGGAACAGTACCCATCAACTGATTCCGTCTCACGCTAAAAAGCACCAAATTGTTTAATCCAGATAAAATCGGCAGGGGACCTGAGAAACTATTAGCATCAAGGCAAAGTTGGGTCAAATCAGTCATATTTTGTAAGACTGCAACAGATCCATTCAACTTCTGGCTGTACAACCAAAGTTTCTGAACCAAAGACTGGGCAAAACTGGGAGGAATTTGCCCTTCTAAATTGTTCTTAGCCAAACGCAGTTCTATTAATCCAGGAAATGTATCTCTTCCGAAAAAGTCAGGGATAGTCCCCGATATATTGGAGTGGGATGCAGTAAAAAACTGCAAACTTGTGGCTTCTTTCAAACTTTGAGGTAATTCCCAAGCTGAAAATGGATTAATATCAAGAGCTACCAATCGCAAAGACTTTAATCCTTGAAAAAAATCAGAGGGCATGCATGAAAAATTATTATGGGAAAAATTTACTTCTTGAAGAGAAGTCAACCCGGCAAGACTTGGGATCGGCCCTGTCAATTGATTATTGGCCACGTCTAGTACGGTCAATGAAGAAAGGTTCTTGACAAGCCAAGAAGATCCCAAAGAGTGCCCATGAAGAACCCAAAGTATTTTGACTAAGAGCTGTCATGCATGGAAGATTCTTGTTTCCGAAGACTTGGTCTGAGTTGTTGATCATGTCCACAAGTTTGCTTGCTTAAGAATAGGTCAAGTAGTTTTTATTTAATTTTGAATAATTTTGGCTGCCCTGTTGTCATTACCTGTTAGTGTCTTATTTCTTAGAGATGTGATCTAAGAATTAGGAATAGTTGTTAATTTCCTTTTGCATTTAAACTCTTTTATAGTCATCAATAAGGAAAACTAATTCCAATTAAAATTCTTGTGGTCTATTCTCACCCTAAGTAGAATACTATCTTCACTTAACAATTTTCTTATAGCTTCGATTGGGACCTATCATTAGTATTAGAGCTAGGTTATTATGGCAACAAATAAGGAAAGGATCGAGAATTTAGATGCAGGACTTGGAGGACTCCAAAATAACCTTAGCCGAATAGAGATGGGTGTATCTGATAAGTTGTACCAATTAGAAGATGGCATCAGCAAAATATCTTAAGTCCTACCGAGCTACATCTACCAGCAGCAATTATGAACTTAATGCAAACTCTCCTAATAGGCGTTCTCGAAACCCAAGAGAAGAATCTCGAGACAACGTTGAAGGAGGACGACAATTGTTTTCTTCCAAATTAGCCAAATTGGAGTTTCCTCGATTTTCTGGATATGACCCACCGAATGGTTCACAAGAGTGGATCAATTTTTTGAGTATCAAGGCACCCTTGAATCACAAAATGTGTCCTTGGCATCTTTCCATTTGGAAGGCAAGGCTAATCAATGGTGGCAATGGTTGAGAAGATCCTATAAGGAAGAAGGCAGGAGGTGACATGGGAAATTTTTCAAGAAGAACTTTGGGCAAGATTTGGTCTTACTGAATGTGAGGACTTTGATGAAGCTTTGTCAAAGGTTAAACAGGTGGGCTTCTGTTGGTGTTTAGTGCCGGTGAATTCTAAGGAAAAGATGAAAATGAATTTGAGTTGAGAGAAAGTCACATTTCATTACAATGCATATTACAATATATACAACCAAAAGCTTACTGTTTCACCAACTGAAACAGACAATTCAGATTTTAAATTTAAAACTAAGGTTTACAACAAATACAACCTTAATCTAAGTTGATTACACCTAAACATGTCACTAAAAATCAACCACTCCAGCAGCTCCATTCAAGGTAGACAGAGGAGACAGCAGCAGTTCTTTAGCGCCAAAAAACATATTCAAAAACAAACTGAATTTCCAACCAAATTTCCAACAAATTATCACTGTTTCAACACTCCTCCTTGATAATTTTGCTGGAAACACCAAGTCTGAGCCTAAAGTCTTCAAACTTGGTTTTGGATAATCCTTTAGTCAAGATGTCAACCACTTGATCATCACCACTGCAGTGAACCAGTTTTATTTCCCCTTCTTGCTCAACTTCTCTCACTGCATGGAACTTGATCTTTATGTGTTTAGTTCTCCCATGATGGACTGGATTATTTTCCATAGCCACAACCGACTAATTGTCACACATGATTACAGTAGGATTTCTCTGCTTCAGCTTCAAATCTTCCAGGATTTTTCTCAACCAAACAGCTTGGTTCACATTAGCTGCAGTCGAGATGTATTCTGCTTCTGTTGTGGATTGTGCACCAATTTCTTGTTTCTTTGACAGCCAACAGATTGCACCATGATTCAGGAAGAAAGCATACCCTGAAGTGCTCTTCATGTCTTCCACAGAACCACCCCAATCACTATCAGAGAATCCCTTTAGTCCAAAGTTTTATGACCTCCTAAACCATACTCCAAAGTTGGTGCTCCCTTCACATATCTAAGCACTCTTTTTGCAGCTTTGAAATGTGTTTCCTTGGGTTGATTCATGAACCTAGACAGTAAACTTGTTGCAAACATAATATCAGGCCTGGTTGCTGTTAGGTACAACAAGCAGCCAACCAAGCTTCTATATTGTTCCTCATCAACACTTTCTGCATCATCATCCTTTGACAGTTTCTGATTTGGAACCAGATGAACATCCACTGATTTGCAGTTCTCTATATTGAATTTCCTTAACACTTCAATTGCATACTTCTCTTGATTAACAAAAATTCCAGCTGAGTTTTGATGAACCTACATCCCGAGAAAGTAAGCCATTTCACCTAAATCTGTCATCTCAAACTCATCAAGCATGGATTTCTTAAATTCCTCCAGCTTAGTTGATTTGCTCCCTATCACAAGTAGATCATCAACATACAAGGAGATAATCATCACGTCTTTATCAATCTCTCTAACATACAATGTGTGCTCATTTGGATTTCTTACAAAATCCAAACTTAACAAGTAATCATTTATTATGTTGTACCAGGCCTTTAGTGCCTGTTTCAGGCCATACAAGGCATTCGTTAGGAGATAGACTTTATCTTCTTTTCCCTTGACTTTGTACCCTTCTAGTTATTCAACATATATCTCCTCATTCAACCATCCATTGAGGAATGCAAATTTGATGTCTAACTGAAAATTTTTCCATGCAAATTGTGTTGCCACTGCAAGTAACAACCTGATTGTGTCATGCCTTGCAACTGGTACAAAGGTGTCCAGAAAATCAACACCATACTACTGAGCAAAACCTCTGACAACCAGCCTTGCTTTGTGCTTAAGGACTCAACCATCTGGATTGAGCTTCTTCTTGAAAATCCATTTAACTTGGATTACCTTTCTGTTCTGAGGTTTATCCACCAGGTTCCAAGTTTGATTCTTCTTAACATTGCCAGCTCCTTCTTCATGGCAGCTCTCCAAACTTCTGATTTTGCAACTTCAAAGTAACATGTTGGCTCAAGTGAGGCTATGTTACATCTCTCATAAACCTCAGCTAAAGGTCTGGTACCTCTAACCAAAATTTCTTCTTCTATATCACTCTCAACATCATCAAAATCCTGATCACCTGCAGCTTCTGTCCAGCTTGGTTTTGTCTCCATATCAGCTCTATTTTCTTCCCAATTCCAAACTCCATCCTCATCTAGTTTGACATCCCTGAAAATCTGAATTTTTCTGGTTTTTGGAACATACACCCTATAGGCTTTAGATTGACTACTATAACCTATAAAAATGCCAATTAAGGTCTTTTCATCCAGCTTGGATCTTTTTGCTGCTGGAACCATAATGTAGCATATACTTCCGAATATTTTGAGCCTATCTACTGTTGGTTTAACTCCATACCATGCTTCATAGGGTGTTTTGCTGTCTAAGGCTTTTGTGGGAAGCCTATTAAGCAAAAACATTGCTGTATTGACAGCTTCTGCCCAAAATTTCTTTGGCAACCTCTTTTCAGCCACCATACACCTAGCCATCTCTACAACTAATCTGTTCTTCCTCTCACTGACTCCATTTTGCTATGGAGCGTAGGGGGTGCTGTATTGATGCTTAATTCCAGCATATGCTTGTTCAAACTCTTGAGAAGTGTATTATATACCATTGTCACTTCTCAAGATTTTTATGGTTTTTCCAGCTTGGTTTTCCACCAGAAGCTTAAACTGCTTAAATACACCAGCAACCTCTCCCTTTTGCTTCAGAAAATACACCCAACACATCCTGGAATAGTCATCAATAACAACACAAAATACCTACTTCCACTCAATGACAAAGTTTCCATAGGACCACATACATTTGTATGAATGAGCTGCAATTTTTTAGATTCTCTCCAGCTTGGTTTACAAGGAAAGACTGCCTACTCAACTTGCCAAGTTGACAGGCTTGACATATGGTTTTACTCTCTTCTAATTCTGGCAGATTTTGGACCAATTTCTTGGTCTGAATTTCCTTGAGACCTTGGTAATGAATATGGCCAAGTCTTTTATGCCATTTCTCAAACTCATCTACCCTTACATTGCAGGCTTTATGTTCAGTTCTTTTCAGCTTAATGGGAAAGCTTTTCCCCACCATTTTTACTCTCATTAGCTCACACCCCTTACTGTCTAAAATTTGACAGATTTGATTCTCAAAATGCAAAACATAATTGTTTTCTAACATTTGTCCTACACTTAAAAGACTTTGACTTATTTCGGGTGCATAGAGTACATTTGGAATGAGTTTTGTACCTGTAGAGGTCTGAATTGTAACATCTCCCTTTCCCTTTGCTTTAACATAGTCACCATTTGCAATCTTGATCCTGGACCGATGTGCTGGATTTAATTTGACAAAATCTTATAGGTGTGGTGTCATATGATTTGTACATCCATTGTCAACCAGCCATCCATCATAGCTTGTTGGTGGTGCACTACAGGAGGCTACAAACAGCTATTCTGTCCCTTGTTCAGGTTGCTAATCATCTATCACTTGTGCTTGTTGTTGGGGCTACTCTCCTTTATTCTTGCATACCCTCTCTATATGACCAAATTTTTTACAAGCCCTGCACTATATTCCTGGCCTAAACCAGCAACTTTTCTTAGAATGCCCCTTCCTTTTACAGTGAGAGCAAGATGAATATTCTTTCATCCCACCTGGTTTTTCCCATTGGCTATTGTTTCTTTCTTTCTCCTTCTTATCACCAACATACCTCCTATTGTTCCCTTGAGCTGGTTTGGTTTTGTGAGTTTCCAGCATTACACCCTCACCTACATCTTCTTGCCTCAAGAGCCTTCTTTGCTCTTGTGCTTACAGTGCATGAACCAGCTATGTAAGAGTAACCTGCCCCATGTCTCTTAAGTCCTCAAGAGATGAGACTTTGGACTCAAATCTTTCAAGTAAGCTGACCATGACTTTCTCCACCACTCTCATGTTTGTCAACTCTACTCCCAATAGCCTTATTTTGTTGACAACACTCATCAAAATGAAGTCGACCAAAGCTTGAGAGATAGAGAGGACTACAGCAGCTGCTTGGTGCCAAAAACTGATTAAAAAAAAAAAAACTAACTTTTCAACTGAATTTCCAGCAAATTATCACTATTTCAACACCCCCACCAACAATTCCACATTACCATGAAGGTTATTGTCCAGTAAATGAAGTTGACCAAAGCTTAGCTTCTCAAGATGCCTTGCCACGACAGCTTAAGGAGAATTTACATGCCGCGAACAATCGAATGAAGCAGCAAGCAGATTCCAAACGCTGGGACAATGACTACCAAATGGGAGACTTTGTGTTTCTAAAGCTTCATCCCTACCGCCAGCAATCTGTGTTTACAAGAGCCTATTAAAAGCTTGCAAGCAAGTTCTATGGGCCATATCAGATTGAAGAAAAAATTGGAAAGGTGGCCGACCAGCTCAAGCTACCACAAGGTTCTTGCATTCACCCGGTCTTTCACGTGTCCCTTTTGAAAAAAAAAATTGGGTGACACAATTGCTGCTAGTACTGAGTTACCTCCAATGGTTGAAGATGGTGATTTGATTATGGAACCGAAGGCAATATTAGACACTCGTTGGGTCAAGAAAGGGTCCAAAATTGTCGAAGAAAGCTTGATCAAATGGAAAAGCCTTCCAGTAGATGATGCTACGTGGGAAAACAAACCAGAAATGAAAGACAAGTTCTTAAATATGAACCTTGAGGACAAGGTTCCAGCCAAATGAGGGGGTATTGATAAGCCAAGAAGATCCCAAAGAGTGCACATGAAGAACCCAAAGTATGTTGACTAAGAGTTGTCATGTATGGAAGATTCTTGTTGCCAAAGACTTGGTCTAAGTTGTTGATCATGTCCACAAGTTTGCTTGCTTAAGAATAGGTCAAGTAGTTTTTATTTAACTTTGAATAATTTTTGGCTGCCTTGTTGTCATTACCTGTTAGTGTCCTATTTCTTAGAGATGTGATCTAAGAATTAGGAATAGCTGTTAATTTCCTTTTGTATTTAAACTCTTTTATAGTCATCAATAAGGAAAGCTGATTCCAATTAAAATTCTTGTGGTCTATTCTCACCCCAAGTAGAATACTATCTTCACTAAACAATTTTCTTATAGCTTTGATTGGGACCTATCAGTTCTGGAGGCTTCCATTCAGAGTTAGGTTGCCGATTTTGATATCAGATACACGATTATCCAAGCACTTAACGTAACACCATTTACACGAGTCCGAGTTGGTCCAATTTAAACTTCTTGGATTTCCTAGGCTGGCTTTAAGGGCTCGCATCACTAAGACGTATGGGCTGTTGTTCTAAGAGTGAACTGAGTGAGTGAATAAAAAGAGACAAAGGGAGAGGAGCGAAATACCCTGATAGCTTTTCCTCCATTTTCTTGAGAAAATTTGAAGTAGGTGGGAAACATCCGAAACTTTGAAAACAGCTTATTAATAGTTAGAAAGTCCAAAATTATTTCAACTATTCTTTAACAAAATTTTGTTACTTTGTTCTTGCAATCTCCAAACTCAAAGTTGCAAGGTTTTGAATTCAATTGTCTTATTTACGTACAGTAAATCATATATAAATAAAAAATATATCCACTATTCTTAAATAAAAAATTTTGATTGTCTCGCCAATTTGGTCAATTTGGAATCCCCTGAAAGACAACAAATTGTTTTCATGCAAACAATCGAGAGCTCTTCGGATAACTTCTTGGCAATATCTNGCCGAGAGAACAATGCAGCTAATGCACTATCAAGAGTGGCGGGTAGTCCTCATCTTGATGCCTTGTTTGTGTCTCAAACTCAATTATGGGATACAATCAAAGCTGAAGCTAATGATAATCCTTACATGAAAAAAAATCAACAAACAAGCAAGCGAAAACCCAGGCGTTCCTTACAGCTAGCGCAATGGTTTGGTTTGTTACAAAAATCGAGTGGTGGTACCTCCTCATTCCAACATCATCCAACAACTCTCGCGAGAATTCCATGATTCTCCCATGGGTGGGCATTCAGGTGTATTGAGAACCTACAAAAGGCTAGCACAACAATTCTATTGGCCATCCATGCACCAAGTAGTGAAGAATTATGTTGCCTCTTGTGAAGTGTGCCAACAAACTAAAAATGAGACTTTGTCACCTGCCGAACTTCTACAGCCACTTCTAATTCCTTGTCAAGTTTAAGATGATGTCACTATGGACTTCATCGAAGGCCTTCCTTCTTTAAACGATAAAAAATCAATTCTTGTTGTTGTTGACAGATTGAGCAAATTAGCACATTTTTTGTCTCTCTCCCATCCGTATACAGCAAAAGTGGTGACTGAAAAATTCATTGAAGGAGTGTTGAAGCTTCATGGCATGCCTCAGTCCATCATAAGTGATCGAGACTCGGTGTTCATTAGTCATTTTTGGCAGGAGTTCTTCAAAATGTCGGGCACACAATTGAAGATGAGCTCCGCCTACCATTCGCAAATAGATGGACAAACGGAAGTGGTTAACCATTGTATTGAACAATATCTTCAGTGCTTTGCTTACCAACAACCTCATAAGTGGCATTCTTTCCTTCCATGGGCTGATTTTTGGTACAATACTACCTATCATGCATCTACAGGAATGACTCCCTTCCAAGCTCTGTATGGAAGGCCCCTACCAAAAATTCCACATTACCATGAAAGTTATTGCCCAGTAAATGAAGTCGACCAAAGCCTAGCTTTTCGAGATGCCTTGCTATGGCAACTAAAGGAAAATTTACATGCTGCGAACAATTGAATGAAGCAGCAAGCAGATTCCAAACGCTAGGACATTGACTATCAAGTGGGGGTATTTGTGTTTCTGAAGCTTCATCCCTACCGCCAGCAATCTGTGTTTAAAAGACCCTATCAAAAGCTTGCAAGCAGGTTCTATGGGCCATATCAGATTGAAGAAAAAATTGGAAAGGTGGCCTACAAGCTCAAGGTTCTCGCATTTACCCAGTCTTTCACGTGTCCCTTTTAAAGAAGAAATTGGGTGACACAATTGCTACCGATACTGAGTTACCTCCAATGGTTGAAGATGGTGATTTGATTATGGAACCAGAGGCAATATTAGTGATGCGTGTTTCTTACAACATGCAATATGTAGCAAGTATACTAGTCGCACAAGTAATAGAGGGATGAGTGAGTATCGTTCCTACGAGGATAGTGTTACTAAGTACCGATTTCCTTAGTTTAAGTCCTAATTAAAGCAACAATAAATTGGATTGATGGAAAATTAACAACTAAATACAAATTAACAAAAATATAAATGAATGATAATAAAATTAAAGCAAAACCTAACAACTTAACTAATTAAACAATGCTAACAAATGCTAGGGTGTTAATTTCACCTAGATACACTAATTCAATTCATAGAATCTATTACCCAAGTTCTAATTCCTTGATTGAAAATCAAATTCCCTAAGTTGTAAAACATATCTTCTCAGGCTACATTTCCCTACTTATCCCTATTAAGCTTCCGCACCCAATTAATAGTTCAAAGTCTTTTAAGCTTTATGGAATTCTATCTAGATTTCATGGATCGCTAAACCTATCTCTAGCATTTGCTTAATCTACGGTATTTATCCCAAGAGGCACGATCACAAATCACTTCTCAGTCTCATTGTGAACAGCACACATTTGAATGGTGATCAAGCATCCAAAAGTCATTAAGCAAAGAGATAAACACTCAATCATGAAATTAAAACTAAAAGTAAATCAATTCATATAAAATTGAATCATTGTATCAAGGTTACATCAAACCCTAGCTAAACAACTCAGTTCATACTCAAAAACGAAATAAAATAACAAAAACCAACTGAATCAAGATTCATCATTGAAAAACAAGCAAAAGATGGAGAAATCTTCTCTAATTTGAAACCCAAATCTTTAATAATCTTCTCCTTCCATGAGCTGCCTCCCAAATGACAAACCAAGCTCATTTCTCTTCCTTTTCGCTCTAATTTATACCTCTCTCACTTAAGGATCAAGCCCTAGCAAGCCAAAACGCATCGTTTTATTTTTAAATCTGACGCAGGTTTCACCGTGGCCGCGGTGAAGACTTTCGGGCGAAATATGAGCATGATAAAGTCTGAATCTGGAAACGTGTTAAACATATGAATTGTTTTAAATTATCTTTCTGTTAGTTCAGGAATCAGCACAATCCGAGGTCTACAGCTCAAGTTATGGCAAAAATACTGAAGCATGTCCAAAGACGTTTTTCTTCAGTTCCCAGCGTACTTTTCACGACTTCAAGCCAAGTTTTCACCATTGTCCAGTCAGAATTAGGAAAAACCCAAAACATGAAGGTTGTAGCGCTTCTTCTTAGCTTTCCAAAGCTTTTTAATTCAGGTCATTCCGAGTTTCCAAACTCAAGTTACACAATTTACGCTCAAAACTATCATTTATGCTCAAAATCATCGTTTAGGCCTGCAAAGACAAATTAATAGAATTAGATAGCAATTATGGCCCAAATTGAATGAAAAGTATCCTAAATCCTATCAAAATTCAAAGAAAAATCATAGTGTAAAATATGATTATCAATTAGACATCCACTGGGTCAAGAAATTGTCCAAAATGTCGAAGAAAGTTTGATCAAATGGAAAAGCCTTCTAGTAGATGACGCTACGTGGGAAAACAAACAAGAAATGAAAGACAAGCTCTTAAATATGAACCTTAAGGACAAGGTTCCAGCCAAAGAAGAGGGGATTAATAAACCAAGAAGATCCCAAAGAGTTCCCATGAAGAACCCAAAGTATTTTGACTAAGAGCTGTCATGCATGGAAGATTCTTGTTGCCAAAGACTTGGTCTAAGTTGTTGATCATGACCACAAGTTTGCTTGCTTAAGAATAGGTCAAGTAGTTATTATTTACTTTTGAATAATTTTCAGCTGCTTTGTTGTCATTGGAACCATCGAACGTGCCATAATGGTGGCTTGTCAATGGCAAAGTAGCGTCGATGATAAGCCAAGAAGATCCCAAAAAGTGCCCATGAAGAACCCAAAGTATTTTGACTAAGAGCTGTCATGCATGGAAGATTCTTGTTGCCAAAGACTTGGTCTAAGTTGTTGATCATGTCAACAAGTTTGCTTGCTTAAGAATAGGTCAAGTAGTTATTATTTTCTTTTGAATAATTTTTGGCTGCTTTGTTGTCATTATCTGTTAGTGTCCTATTTCTTAGAGATGTGGTCTAAGAATTAGGAATAGTTGTTAATTTCCTATTGTATTTAAACTCTTTTATAGTCATCAATAAGGCAAGCTAATACCAATTAAAATTCTTCTGGTCTACTCTCACCCTAAGTAGAATACTATCTTCACTAAACAGTTTTCTTATAACTTTGATTGGGACCTATCAGTCGATGGTGTCGTTGAGTTGTCGTATTTTTTTAATTTAAAAAAATATATATTAAGCTAATTTATTTGTTTAATTAGTTTTTTTTGATAAAATTACTTTGTAATTTGACATATTATAAAAGAGTACATTTTTCATTTCTCCACCTGGTGCAAGTTTTGATCATACATCTGAGCAAGATGTTTGTAGTGCACAGCTTAATAATACTTCAGTTTCCCTTAGTCCATCCAATGATGCTTCTCCTCTTGGCATCTTATTAGAGGTTGTGTTGCCTCTTCAACGACCAGTAGCAACCACTAATTCACACTCAATGGTTACTAGGTTGAAAGCTAAACATGAGCAGATTTCGTCCTTTCAAGGTCACATAGCTTCTCTTGGCTCTCTTCTAACTTTGCCTAAACCTAACACTGTTAAAAAAGCTTTGGCTGTTCCAGAGTGGAAAGAAGCTATGAATGCAGAGTATCAAGTTTTTCTTAGGAACAATACTTGGCAAGTAGTTCCTTATTCCTCATAGATGAATTTAGTAGGGATTAAATAGGTTTTTAAAGAGAAACTCAACTCATATGCTACATTGCAAAGACATAAAGCTCGTTCAATGGCCAAGGGGTTTTAATAAAACCCAAACGTTTGAGGGTGAACATGGGTAGTGGGTAGAACTGGAACCAAAAACTATCCATAACCGATACTATGCGAGTAGGTTTCGGTTTCAATTTTTTGGAACCGACACTATACAGGTCTGGTTATGGTTCCTACGTGTGCAGGAACCAGAACCAAACTCAAAACCTATAATGGGAATCGAGGTCGAGTACCCGTGATGGAACTTGTCTTGGAGTTAGGACTAAAAAAAATATCAGTAATATTGGGGGTTAATTGTAATTTTGCATATAAAAATTAAAAAAAATGAAAATGGGATGAAGAGTTGAAGATACA